TCTCTCTCTCTCTCTCTCTCTCTCTCTCTCTCTCTCTCTCTCTTTCCCGACCCGCTTCCCCCCCCTCCACTGCCTCCCCCCCCCAAGCACCAAGTCAGGAGAAGCCCCACAGAGTGGGGGACGGGGCGGGCGGGGTGTTGCATTTACCTGCGGCCAAGACCTTCATTGTGGGCCGGACTTGAAGTCGGGAGGGACCTAGTGGAGACTGAGTTTATGTTGACAGGGGTGTTTGCAGAAATTCATGCTCGAACGGGACTTGGCCTGGTTTATATACGGGAGCCTATGTTGTAAGACAGAGAAAAAAGCTATATTTAGCCACTCAAAAGGATACCCAATTCAGGAAGTTGTTTGAGGTGCATCATAGTTGTGGAAATTATGAATGGGACGAGAGTGAAAGTGAGGGGGGGGGCCTCGAGAAGGGGGAGAGTGGGGGGGGCGGGGAAAGGAGCCTTTTTTTCCTTCTCTCTTCTAAGAATTTTGTTGTGATCGAATTATAATGGTCTTCCAAAAAAACCGACAGCCAGCCTGTGGCTCATTTTTCTGAATTGTTTGAAATTGAGGTAGGGGGTGGGAAGATATCCCTCCCCACAAGCCAGGGTCCTAACCACGTTTCCCTGAAAGAGGACTGTGAAACTCAGAGAAACTTCCTGACTCACCTGAAAGGGAGGGAAGTAGAGGGCCCGGCAAGGCTGGTGGGAGACAGGGGGTGAGGGTGGGAGACTGACATTTGACTTCCCTCAGACCCTGCGGGATGGTGCAGTCTGGAAGTGTGCTAGCTGGTACAGGGGGCAGTAGGCCCCCTGGCACACCCCTCTCATCCACCGAGGTTTGCACCAGTGGGGAATCTGACACTTGACTGTCACCCGGTGGCAAAAGGGTGTTGTCGAGTAGGGAGTCTAGTGATGGCTGGGGTAGGTGTGGAGAGCTGGGTAAAGGGTGGCAGCTAAGAGAGGCAGCATGCCACCAGGAAGAGCCCTGGGCTTGGAGTTAGAGGTTCAAATCCTGGCATCCACCATCTGTGGGACCTTAGGCAAGTCTGGGCTTCAGGTTTCTTGAAAATGAGGGTATTGGACTGGATTACAGCTGAGAGCCCTCCCAGCTTGAAATGTATGCTCCTAAGAAGGATATTGGTCAATTGGGATCTTAATTAACAGCAATAAAGAGAGGGTGAAGGGAAGGGACCTTAAAGGTCACCTAGTCCAACCCCATCATTTTACGGTCGAGGAAACTGAGGCACAGAGAGGGGAAGAGCCTTGCCCACAGTCACACAGCAACGTTAGTGGTAGAGACTGGCTAGACCCAGTACATGAATACTCAGCTAGACCGTAAACTCATTGAGGGCAGCTACGCTTCGATGGTGTGTCTTCGTATCCCCAGCACCTGGCATATAGTAAGTGCTTAATAGGTGCTTGTGGATTGACTGAATGGAGGTTGGAGACACCTTGGAGCTCAGTTAGTCTCATCATATAATTGAGGAAACTGAGGCCCGGAGAAGGGAGGGGAATTACTCAAAGCCCTACCCTACTTCCAAGGGTTGTTGGGAGAATCTAATGAAAGTCTGCATGGCCTAAAGGGTACCATGCCATAGAAACAGCAGGGAGTGCTAATGGGGAGTGAAGGAGGCAGGCTCCAATCTGGCCAGAGGCTGTCATCCAACAGGCATTTAGTACAGTAAGGATACGATGACGAAAGTGAGAAAGCCCCTGCCCTCAAGGAGCTTACACTCTGCTCAGAGACATGGCCTACAGTTCAACTCAATTTAATTTAAAAAACGTTTATCTAGCACCCCCTGGACGACCACAACTGTGCTGGGGATAGAAACACAAAAGTGAGACAGTCTCTGCCCTCAAGGGACTTATTTGTCTACAGGATCATAGACTTGAAGCTGGAACGGCCCATAGAGACCACCCAGTGTAACTTCTTTATTTTACAGAGAAGGAAACTGAGGCTGAGAAAAAAGAAAGGAGTAAGGCCACACAAGGAACAGAACTTGAATTTGAACCCTCTGGCTCAAAATCCATCCCATCTTCCCTACATTCCACTGTCCTGACGTTGTCCTGCTCCCAGCCTCAGTTTCCCCATCTGTGAAACAGGAGAGGAAAAAGACCGGCATGGTTGGGAGAACCTGGCAGAGTTCGTTGCCGTCCTCGGAAGCGAGTGCCACAACCCACCAGGGCGTGGGTACTGACAAGTCTCGTGCAGCTCGGATTCCACGTCCTGGCCCCCGAAGGGAAAATGGATGGGAACCAGTTTCCAAGAGGCAAACTCTTAACCAGGCGAGCTCCAGTTTCCACCGAGTAACGGGGGTGGTCCCGCCCCAGTGCTGCCACGGGGAGGTCTGTGGCTTTGGCAGCCAGGCCCAGGTCAGGAGCTCTCCTCTTTCCCCACCACCCCATCCGACAAGTTGCCACATCCCACCCGCTTTTAGGCTTGCCTGGCCATGTGCTCCTTCCTGGTCTTGCCAGGACCAGTCTCCCCCTCTAGGACTGGATGGAGGTGGGGGAGCCCTAGGGGCTGGGACCGAGGGCCTGATAACGAGCTGCTGGCTATTCCTAACTGACTGCAGGGGTAAACACAGCCGGACCCAGCTACCCCGCCCAGCCCCTGCCCCTCCCAGCCTCACCTCCTGCTTGCTTCCTCTGGTCTGCCAAAGACTGCCTGGCATCTTTTCTCCCACCCCACCCTATCCTGGGATTGGGGTAATCAAAGGATGTCGAGGTCACCCACAGAGGCGATCTGACTCGGGCCCTCTCGGATGATGGGCCTCCCAGCTTCCACCCCACCCCCCAAGAGCCCAGTCAGAGCCAGGGTCACAGGCTCCATCACTTGAAGACCTCACCCACCCCAGGCTGGTTCACACTGGTCCAAGAAGCCTCACCATGTCCTACTCAGTCCTCCCAGCCCACCCCCTGCCTCAGAGAGATCACTACTGTCCAACTCGATTTCCACTTTTTCCAACTTGGAACGTCCTGCCCCCTCATCCAACTCAGTCTCCATGTCCCCTTAGCCAGGCCCCCCAGCTTCACAGCCTCCCCTGAATTCAGGTTTGATGTACCCTGATCCAGCTTCCCAGCCCAGCTCCCGTATTTCCCCAACTTGGCCCTCAAAGATGCATGACTCAGCCCCTCAGTCCTTCCTACTTGGCCCCCTGAACCCCTGGCTCAGTCTGTCTCCCCTCTACATTCCTAGCTTAGTCCCTGTGTGCCCCAGATTAAGGCCTGGAAGAGGCCCACTTGCCATCCTGACTCAGCCTCCCCTTCTCCCTCCCCCACCTCTATCCCCTCTTTGTCTGTGCTCCCCTATCTTCTTTCCCCTCCGTCCTCAGAATCTTCTCTAAGTAGGCTTCTCCTTCCCTGAGCTCTGATTAAATTCCTCCCCCACCCCACCCCCCACCCTTGGACTGTCTTATCTTGTCTTCTGCCGTCCCGGAATCTACCCTCCCCCATGCATCCTGATCGCCATCTGAAAACTGAAAGTGGGGGTGGGGAGTGGGAGGTGCAGGGGATCCAATCTCCAACTTGTATCATCGGGTGTTATCGCAGGAGAGGGCCCTTCCACAGCATCTCTTCCTCATTTTATCAATGAGGAAACTGAGGCCTAGGGAGAAGCCAGAGATGTCCCTGAGGTCACACCGAGAGTAAGAGGCAGAGCTGGGTTCTGCATCCTCCTCCTCAGCTTCAAATCCAGCCTTCCTGCCACTACATGGAAATGTCCAGGACCCCGACTGCCACCCCTTCCACTGCCCTTCTGTGCCTCAGTTTCCTCCGTCCCTGCTCCCTCCCCCCGCGTCCTCCCTGGTACCTGACGTAGTGCTCTGAGATCCGTGGTGGCCCAACCCTGGCCTCCCCCAACACCCCTCCATGTGCTCTGCTCTGCAGGGAAGCTAGCCTTGGTCCGGGCCCCAGGGTGGGGCAGTTGGGGCCGGGTCCCAGCTCCGTCCTCAGCCTCAGCCGGTCAGCCCGGCACTGGGCTGCGTGTCTCGGGCCTGGGCCCCTGCTCCCAGGGTAGGGAGCAGCGCTGGGGTGGGGTCGGGTGGGGTGGGGTGGCCGCCGGCCCTCCCTGCTCAGGGCCCAGTTCCAGGCCCGGTTTTGGTGTTTGTTTGGGGTGTGTTTGTTTGTCCTCTCCCCCTGGTTCTCTCACTGGCCGGTTCCCAGGGTCACAGCCCCCCTTTCGCACTCCCCCCAGCACCCCACCCTGGAGTGGCAGCCCCAGCCGGGCCCCTTCCAGCTGTGACTTCATCTGCATCCACTCCAGCCCCTGCTAAGGAAGCCGGGCTGGAGGCTGCAGTGCTCCCGAGCAGGGATGGGGGAACTCACACGTGGCCTGAGCTAGAGCTGGGGCTGGGGGGATCCTGGCCAGCCCGGCCTCTCCCCAGGCACTGAGCCCTAGGGATCAAGGGCTGCTGCAGATTGCTGGCCCCATCCCCTCACTTTACAGAGGAATGGAAGGGACCCACCCAAGGTCACTCAGCAAGTAGGAAACTGAACCCAGGACTCCACAGACAGAGCTCTTCCTGCTGCTGTTCTAGACTGTGCAGTAGGAGAACTGAAAGGGAATTTCAATTATCTACTCTAACCCCCTCATTTTACGGATGAGGAAACTGAGGCCCAGAGAGGTTTCTCCAGCATTTTATATACGTACCCTGGTTTGAGCTTTGCCACAGCCCCGTGGGGAGGTGCCACAGGCATTATCACCCCCATTTTATAGAGGATTGAAGGAATACACAAAAAAGTGCCCAGGATACAGATGAGAAAACTTCGGCTCAATTAAGCTTCAGTGACTTGCCCAGGGTCTCGTATACTGGGATTTGAACCCAGGTCTTTTGGATTCCAAATCTGTCATTCTCTCCCTTATACCTCAGTGCAGGTCGGTGGGGGCCAGAGCTGCTGAATTCTCCCAGGAAAACAACCCACAAGGCATGACCCACCCTAGCCTATGTCCCATATGCCCCCAATTAGTGCCCCGAGCTCATCCCCATCACCATACCTTTGCCTGGGCAGTCCCCCTCCCTTGGAATGCCTTCCCCTCTACTCTGCCTTTCTAGATTCTGTCCATCCTTCAAGTGCTTCAGGGTGTAATGGATTTGGAAGTCAAAGGACCTGAGTTCCAGTCCTTGCTTTGGCACTTACCACAAGAGTGACTTGGGTAAGCCACTTGCCCTCTGCAGAAGGAGGCTTTTGGATAGAATGGGCTCCAAGCTCCCTCCTCCACCATGCTATGAGCCCACAAAAATCCCCCTTCCTCAGGGAAACCT